TTTGGGCGGAGGGTTTAAATGGTTTTTAAAAAAAAAAAAAAAAGTCAACCCAGGTGTGGGAGGGTTGGAGGAAGGCCGTGCAGAGGTGTGGGCGACAGCTGGTCACTGTGGTCAAGGAAGCAAGGCCTTGCCCTGGTTGTCAGATGCCCTTCCTGGCCATCTGCTCCCGAAGCCTGAGTTGCTCGCAGACTCCCCTCCTCCTCTCCTCCTCTGGGAAGGCTCTCAGTGATGGCGCCATGCTGACCTCGCTTTGGTCTGTGGCAGGTGTTTAGCTCCGAGGGTGCGTGGCAGTGCGTGAGTGAGGCGGTGCAGGTCCTCGGGGGCTCAGGCTACATGCAGGCCCACCCCTACAAGGGCCAGGGCTGGCGTGCATGTGCTCCTGTCGGGTCTTCTCGCAGACCCCATGTAGAGGAGAGGGATTGGGGCTGAGAGGGGCCAACCTTCTTGCTCAGGGGCCTGCTCCTGAAGCCGTTGGCCCCTGGGCCACTGCCTCCTGGGAACCCGCTGCAGGCCTTGGCCATGTTGCTTCTGGCTGGAAGTAGTGGATGAGCAGCTCCTGGAGGAGAGCCAGGTTCCAGCCCCAGCCCCACCTCGTGCACACTTCCACAAGACAGCTGCTGGGCCCTCCCTCTGCCAGCTCTGCCTCTTATCACAGCTCTGAATGCACACACCCGAAGTGTCAGTTCGGCCCACGTGTGCCGAGTGGCATAGGGGCAAAGAGGGGTCTTACAGGTGACCTTGGACGCTCTTACAGGTGACCTTGGACGCCGTGGGACACCAAGGGGCAGGCGTCATCCAGGGCCACTGAGCCTCCTGAAGCACGCACTTGACCCTGGGAACACGCGGGGTTTTGAGCAGGGCTGGGAGGGAAACACCATGCAGCCCCAGTTGGGCCTTGACCACCAGCCCCTGGAGAAGGCAAGGAAGCCTTCCTGGGAGTGGTCAGCTGCCTGGGGGGCTGGGGCGAGGTGCAGCAAGAGGTATTAGAGCTGCCTACTGGCAAGCATAAGCGTCATCCCAGGTTAGAGCTTAGAGCAGGGAGCAGCTGGGTTGTTTGTGTTCTGGGAGCTTCCCCTGGGGTGATGTGGAGGGTGGTTACAGGGATGAGGCCAGGGGCCCTCCTCTGGGAGGGGGGTATTGGGAGTAGACAAATGGGGCTGACCGTGGTTGTGAGGTGGACGGGGCAGACCCTGGCTTGGGGTTCTCACCTGCCTCCTGCACAGCCTGTGTGAGCAGCTTTCCCTCCGACAGACAGACAGGCCTGAGGCTAGCCTGAGGGCACAGGGCAGCTTCCCTCAGCCCAGGAGGCTGGCTCTTCCCTGGTGGAGTGGGGTGGCCAGCAGGGGTTCAAGACACCCTTACAGCTGCCATCACGCTGAGCCTTGTGTGCAGCGGCTGGTCCCG